TCTACTTCAAGAATTTTTGTGTTAGAAATGTTGGTAGGGAGTGGAAAATAAAACGATTAAGGTGTCAAAGTCAATTTTGTTGAAAATTTTGGAAAATTTGACTTGACCTTGGAAAATAACCCTAGTAATGAACAAAAGTTGAATAGTGTCTAAACAGTATTTGAGATCATAATGTTACAATGAATGAGATAGCAAAGTAGAGTGAATAATAGCCTAAAAAAATGGGGAAAATAACGAATGAGGAGACAAGAAACAAAATGTATGATAAAGTACTAGGTGGAGAAATGGAAACGTGAGAGGTGGAACAAATACTTAACAAAAATATTGGAATACTAGGGTTATGCAAGAAACGAAAGAGATGAGCAAGAAGTGAAGAAAAATGAGAAAACGAATGAGATGAGATGAAACAGAAAACGTGAAAGAATACGACAAAACGGGTGAGAACGTCAATGACAATAGAAACGAAAACAGAACAGGTGCAACGAATGGAGAAAAGTTAGGATGCAATGAGAAAAAACAAAGAATGAACAAGACACGACAACCCTAAACCCATTGACCTGTCAATCCCCCTTTACACTATTTTTGGGGGGTAGGGGGGGGTAGCTGTGGAGGAACAGGCCACCCACACCGCGTAAACTGATGGACCATAGGCGTTTTCGCACAGGGCACAGGGGCTCTTTTGGAAAAAACCCCTACCCCCCCCTACCCCACCCCCCCACACCCCGCCCACACCCCCCCACACCCCCCCCCACCCCCCCCCACCCCCCCCCCACCCCCCCACCCCCCCCCCAACAGGAACCGCAAACAAAATCACCAAACCCCAAACCTTAAACTTGTTCTCCTGCGGGGTCGGCGGCTTGAGCCGGAGGCTCTTAAATTTAGGGTTTAGGGTTTAGGGTTTAGGGTTTAGGGTACCTTGTTGGGTCATTTTCATGAGGGATTTCTACTATTTGGGGGTCTATTTTGGGGGTCCCCTATGTTCGTAAACTCCCTTCTGAATTCTATTGTTATAATGTTATTAGTATTTCGTATCTAGGGTGTGGGGTTTGGGTGAACTTAACGGGGGTGTGGTGTTTGGGGTTTAGGGTTTCGGGTTTTCGGGGGATTCTAGGCTTGGGCTTGTACTGACTCTACCCTAAACCCTAAACAATAAACCCTAAACAGCAATGGACAGGTATGGGTGGGAAGTTGCTCATTTGCGCGGAAAGTTGTGTTGATATCAGCCTCTTAGACCACAACCTGTCCTGCACCGTTTGTTTTGTGTGTGTGGGGGGGGGGGGGGGGGGGGGGGCAAACACTACTCTTTTTTGGGATCGGGGCTGTCGGGCGTTATCTACTTTGCGGAGATCGGCTCTCTGACCGGCTTGACCTAAGCCCTAAACTCCAGGCCTTTTTTAAACCCAAGTCCTAAGCCCCAGAGTGACCCAGGAACACAAAGGGTGCCAGTTGTGGCCTTCGAAGGGAACCTGCCCTAAGCCCTGAAAAAGGGGAAGAAGGGCCTAGTTTGGGCCCGAGAAACTCGAAGCCCTGGACATCATGTGCCTAAACAACCCTAAACCCTAAACCCTAAACCCTAAACCCCGAAGCTTCCCAACCGTCTCCACTGCTCACGAGGGCGCCGAAGGGGAGCCTGCATCAGTGCCAGAAGTGCCCAGCACCTTCTCCACAGTGCGGGTGCGAAACACTCATGGGTTCCCCTACTACAGGCGGTAGTGCCCCTAAACCCTAAACTTGAAACCCTAAGCCCTGTAGTTACTACAGGGCTTAGGGTTTCAAGTTTAGGGTTTAGGGGCACTACCCCCCCCCCCCCCCCTCTAGGTTCCCACCATAGCTAGGGTTATGTAGGGATCATTAATTAAGGTTGTCTAAGGGGGGATGAAAAAGGGGGGGGGGGGGGGGGGGTGGAGCAACTGTTTGAAGACACTCCTGGGTGGGTAAACCCCAAACCCTCAGCCTAAACCCCTAAATCCTAAGCCCTCAACTTAAACCGAAAGTCTAAACTCTAAACCCTAAATCCTAAGCTCTCAACTTAACGGGTCTTAGTAGGGAGTTTGATTTCTTCCGCCCTACAAAGAACCTGTAAGACAGGCCCTGGAACAGATACAGATAATTGCAAGAATTGGAAAGAAAAAACGACCAACAACACCAAGTGTCAATGGTAGTGAATCACATTCAAACCGTTTGCAGTCACAATTAGCATATCATTACGAAAATAAAATAATAAAAGAAAAACAAACGTAGGAATAGTAATAATGGAAAATAGTAACAATACGAATAACAATGATAACAAGGCTACTAGCAAGTCTTTTTTGTGTGTGGGGATTCTTGCTTTGTATTTGAACAAAAATATGCTGATACCATTAATAATATTTGCATGTATAACATAAAGGAGAACAAAAAGAAAGAAGAAAACCACCTAGATCAATGCACAAATAACCCTTGTGAAAAGAAGACAATTCATACATACATATATATATATATAATCTATATATATATATACATATATATATATATGTGTTGTAGAGCCCACAAGCCGCGCCAAAGAAACAAGGTGCAGCTCAAACCCAATTACAACACAAAACCTGCCTAAACCCAACATGTTGGGTTCCACATGATTCTGCAGGTGACGTTCCTTGTTGGGGCCCCACTGCTTTCATGCAGCAACTGGCCTTTTTCGGGCAAGCTAAGAAGGAACCATCCAGTCGAAAAAACCATAAAAACCGTCTAAAACCCTAAAAGCCGCAGAAACCCTGAAACCCTAACCCCCCCAAAACCTCCAAAACCCCAATGCCAAAAGCCTAAAGCCCTAAGATGTAACCCTAAAACCCTGCAACCCTAAAGCCCTAAAGCCCTGAAGCCCTAAAGCCCTAAACCGAAGCCCCTGTGCTCACCTGGCCCTACAACCCTACTTAAACTCCAAACCCTAAACCCTAAACCCTAAACCCTAAACCCTAAACCCTAAACCCTAAACCCTAAACCTTGACCCTGAACCCTAAACCCTAAACCCTAACCTTTAAACCCCGCCTGGCCCTGGAGCGGAATCGCCGCCAGGAACTCCCCCAGCCGGTTGTGGGGCGCGGGGGGGCGAAAGGTCGTGGCATCCTGGGAGGAGTGAAGGTTTAGGGTTTAGAGTTTAGGGTTTAGGGTTTAGGGTTAAGGGTTGAGCGTTTAGGGTTTAGGGTCTCGGGCTTCCTGCAGGGTCACAGAAATAGGGCAGCTTAGGGCTTCCTGGGGGCTTACAGCAATGAGTTTAGGGTTTATCGGGCTTAGGGTTTATACGGCCTAAGGTAACGGGACGAGAAAGGGCTTGATCACCTACCCTAAACTACGACCATCCGGGTACATGTCCCTCTTTAGGGTTTAGGGTGTAGGGTTGGGCCTGAAAAGGGGTTCTGATATACGCGGACCCTTAAGGGCTTTTCAAGAGCTCCAAATGTCTCGCCTTTAAGCCCTCATACACATGAATTAACGTCTGTTTGGGTTCTTTGGGGCTTCAGGGCCCAAATATTTCCGAAACGGTGTCATCCTTGTTGCAGAAAGCTTGTTTTCCCGAAACCTTCATCACCTGCCAAGGTACGCTGACAAGAATCCCAAAACTGGTCCAGTAGTGAACCTCCAGATGCCCTCGTATGCCGAAAAGGTGCCCTAAACCCTAAACCCTAAACGCTAAACCCTAAACCCTAAACCCTCAACCAAAAAGGGACCGCCAGCTCATCTGAACCAAGGGGCGCCGCGGATTTCGAAGCCGATGCGAAAGCGAGAGACCCAGGTCTCCGAGACCACGCCTGCAGCAACGTGGGGTGCTCATTGCGGTGTAGTTTCGGATCTAGGGTTTAGGGTTTAGGGTTTGGGGTATAGGGTTCAGAGTTCAGGGTGTCGGGTAAAAGGTTTAGGGTGAAAGGTTTAGGGGTTTTGGGCTTGCTTTCAACGACTCAACACGCCAAATCTCTTCCAGGCCCCCCCTAAACCCCAAACCCTAAACCCTAAACACTAATTAAACCCTAAACCCTAAACCCTAAACCCTAAACCAAAAAAAACGACGCTGAAGCAGGCCTTCGTCGACGTAGTCTTGGAAGTGGTCGTTTGAGAGGAGGCAGCCTGGAGGCTTGCTATAGTCGCGGCTTGTGGGGGGGGGGGGGGGGGGGGGGTTTAGGGTTTAGGGTTTAGGGTTTAGGGTTTAGGGTTTAGGGTTTAGGGGTTTAGGGGTTTAGGGTTTAGGGTTTAGGGCTTAGGGTTTAGGGTTTAGGGCTTAGGGTTTAGGGTTTTAGGGTTTTAGGGTTTTAGGGTTTTTGGGTTTTTGGGCTTTTGGGTTTTTGGGTTTTTGGGTTTAGGGTTTAGGGAGCATCCGGGGCTTAGGGGCTTCGAAGTTGGGACGCTTTTGGACAAGAGGCTCCGGGAGTCGGGAGCGGCCGCCTCGCGCAAGGCGACGGCATCGACGTCCTGGTTTGGGGTTTGGGGTTTAGGGTTTGGGGTTTGGGGTTTGGGGTTTAGGGCTTGGGGTTTGGGGTTTAGGGTTTTTGGGGGTTTCGGGTGCGCCAGGTTATGATGTGCGGCACTGGGCTTCATCCGAAGGGTAGATTTGCCTCGATGTTGTCTACCTGGGCTCCAATAGGAACTCGGTACTCGCCTAGGCACTATAGCCCAAACTTGCTCTCTCCTACTGGGCCTTGGGATAAACAGGCGCATGGAACGAGCCCTAGAACCTGAAAGCCGCCTGACTCAAATCCCCAACTCCCCGAACATACACCCTGAAGCCCAAACCAAAAACCCTGAGGGCCCAACATCCATCAATCCCCTCCCCTAATATTAACCCCCCCCCCAACCCCCGAATATTAAAAGACTATAAAGAACATTTAATGTTAGGGGTAGGCGGCTCGGTTAATATTCGGCGGATGCGATTGCACCTTAGGTGCTGCAGGGCCAGGGTTTTCTTCACATCCGGCAGGACAGCTGACTGCGAAGCGGGCACCGAAGTAGCCTTCGCTGTGGTCACTGATTCGCTAGACGGTTTCCTGGACGTACTTTAAGATCCTTCGACACAGCGTGGTCAACTCAACTTTGTTGGCCTGAAGCTCAAGCAGCACACTCTCAGCTTCTTTCAGCCTTGCTTCGCGCTGATGCAGATCGGCAAGCGCCGCGTCGATGGCTCGAGTAGTGCGAGTGGTTGGGTTCGTTCGCCGCTGGAACAGTGCACCCAGGCAGCACTCAGCAAAAACTGCATTGGAACGAACGTTGTATCTCTTCATCATGGCACGCATGTGCTGGATCTGTTCAAGACTTGCCTTCGCATGTGCCTGGGCCAGATTGGCAAAAGTTATGATTGTCGGCGAGAATCCATTGTCCAGCAAGGATTGGAAGAGGTACATGGCTGCGTTGTGGCTCGGGCGCGCTGCGCTCGCACAAGCAAGGATTGCCGAGTTGAATACATAAACAGACAACTCCATTTTTCCAGCAATCATGCCGTCTAGCACCCGGGCCGCCCCCTCGATGTCTCCCATGTAGGCCGCTGCATCAATTCGGGCACCACACAGACGCTTGTCAACCAATGATCGCTCTGTAGCTTCGGCCCATATTGAGTTTACTGTTTCGGGATCTCTTAATTTGCCGAAAATTTTGAGTGCCACGAGCAAGCTGACCTGGTTCAGCCCCTTAACCGCACAACTTAACTTCTCATAGATTTTGGCCGCTTCCCTGTAACGCTTACATCGGTATGCTGCTTGCATGGCGGCAGTGAGCACTGGTTCTGCAGAACCTGTGTACCTTCCATAAAGTTGGCTAACGCGGCTCCAGTCACCCTTCCTTCCAGCTTCTGCTAGATTGGTCGTGAGCACTTGTTCCTGGGGAGACAGTTCCACAAAGGCTGATTCAGGAGCTTTTTGGCTGATACTCTGCCCTGTTGTTTCGCGGATCACGCTGAGAGATTTTTGCCTCGGAGTTGGCACGCTAAAGCTGAGCGTAGATGCCCACAGCCAAAGCGGAATGATCGTCGCAAGGATCGTCCTCTGCATGTTCCGATGTCCGGCCATGGCGGTCAACTGCCAAACCCAAGCATGTCTTAGCTGGAGTAAGAAAAGCTGGACTTTGCTTGGCTGGCTGACCTGCTTGGAGGTTCGTGGTACGTAATAACCCAATGAGACCTGTACTTATGACCCAATTATAACCATATTAGTGCACTTAAAGGGCTCATAAGTGGGTTGTACGTACAGTTATGATTGGGTTATAAGTACCATGAACCTCCAAGTGGGAGATCTAAACGGAACACGAAACTTGGCGGAAGGTGCTTTATGATCCAAGTGACGACGGTCGGCAAAGAACCCGATGTTACCGACACTACAGCGGCTGCCATCGAAAGCGAAATCCTGAGTAGGAGCTCGCGCCCCCTTCATGATTGGGTCGAGGCGAACTATCAACATGGGTTGCTCTCGTAAGCTTCTTTTACGGGTGCCGTCAGCATGTATCGGACCCAACAAGGGAGCCTCATTTGGAGAACTGCCCACAAGAACTTGCCGGGTTTTGGGGGCTTGAAGAGGTGAGGCTTGACATTGTCCTTCAAGCTTAACCACTCAAATCATGGAAGCTCGCCGAGCCAGGAGCAAGGCCCAAGGGCGCCACGGGGCAGAGAGGTTCCCTGAACTTAGCCCAACCCTAAACCCTCATCAGAGTCTGGGGCATAGGACTTCGGGAAGATGCAGCTCCCACAAACTCTGTAATTTCCGGGAGACTTATAAAGTACTTCAAGTGGTGTACCAGAGGCCCCCAACTACCCTCCAGGAGAATGATTCCCGAAATACCTTTACATGCTACGTGTTGAGGGTTTAGGGTTGTAACTTGCAACTACTAGTTGCTTAAGAACATCAACAACAACAATCCCTATATTGGACTTAGAAGGAAGAACATGTTTATTAATTCTTTTAGTTGTTGTTGTTGTTGTTTTTTTTTTGGGGGGGGGGGGGGGGGGTGCTTAAGCAATTCGTAGACAACGCAGAACCCCAAGCCCGAGGTGTCCTCTCCATGAGGGAGGCAGCGCAGGGTCACTCGGCCAGGGTAGCGCTCGCGCAATCGGTCTGGGGGCGGAGGGAAGCCCCACATTTAGGGTTCTAAACCCTAAACCCTTAACCCTACAGGCTAAAATCTAAACCCTAAACCCTAAAGCCCCCTAAACCTCAAACCTCAAAGCCCCTAAACCCTAAAGCATTCAAAGCTTTAAAGGCGTGTGGTTGTCAGGATGGTTGTGCCGAAGCTTGGGAATTCCCGAGCGTTCCACACTCATAACCTGCAGCCCGCAACAAAGGTTTAGGGTTTAGGGTTTATAGGGCTTAGGGTGCGTGAAAACCCTCATCCCTAACCCTTTTGCCCTGAACCCTATAATCCAAAAAAGACTTAAAAACCGAAGCCTTAAACCCTGAGGGTCCCTTTCAGGTGCCCGGTGCCCGAAACCCTGCGCCCGAAAACCTGAAAACCCTACTGCAACCCTAAGACCCTAAAACCCCAAAACCCTACAACCCTAAAACCCCAAAACCCGACACCCTGAACTCTGAACCCTAAACCCTAAACCCTCAACCCCAAACCCTGAACCCTACACCCTACAACCCTAAACCCTAAACCCTAAACCCTACAACCCTAAACCTTGAAGTCTCGCTGACGAGATGTGCGGGTCATCGAGGGTTTGGACCGGCTTTGGGGCTCCCAGGGTTTAGGGTTTAGGGTTTAGGGTTTAGGGTTTAGGGTTTAGGGCCATAAACCCTAAACCCTAAACCCTAAACCCTAAACCCTAAACCACCCTTAACCCTAAACCCTAAACCCTAAACCCTAAACCCTAAACCCTAAGCCCTAAACCCTAAACCCTGAACCCTGAACCCTGAACCCGATCCCCAGTAACCTTGGAATAAGGGCTATTTTGTTGGCATAAGGTTGCTTTAGAAGGAACCTAAGGGAGAAAGGGCCCAGTGGGAGACTTAGTAGGGTTTGAGGGTTTTAGGGTTGCAGGGTTGTTGGGGTTTTGGGGTTTTAGGCTTTAGGGTTTTAGGGTTTGCAGGGTTTGGATTTCAGGGTTTAGAGCTTGGGGTTTTGGGGATTTTGGGGGTTTGGGGGTTTTAGGGTTCCAGGGTTTTTGGTTTTGGGGTTTAGAGTTTTAGTTAGGGATCAGGGTTTACAGGGTGTATAGGGTTTAGAGGCTGTTACACCCTGTGCAAGCCCTAAACCCTAAACTTTAGGTTTCCATATGGGGGCTTACCAGAATAGGGGTACCTTCTTGGGGTCCTGTATACAAGGGGATCCTACAATTTGGGAGTCTATATTCGTAAACCCTAAACCCTAAACCCTAAACCCTAAACCCTAAACCCTAAACCCTAAACCCTAAGCCGGGTCCCATATTTCGTAAACCGAACCCCCACAATGTTGTGTCGATGTCATCGACTCGACTCCAGGGCTTGCTAGCCCAGCTGCGCGCGCCGAGCCCCGCCGACGAGGAGAGGCCTCGGGCGAGGGGCGCGCAGAGGGCTTATGGCTTGCAGGAAACCCCAGGCCCTAAACCCTAAACCCTAAACCCTAAGCCCTAAGCCCTAAACCCTAAACCCTGAACCCTGAACCCTGATACCTGAACCCTGAACCCTAACCCGAAACCACAAACTGGAGGGTTTAGAGAGCTTTGTTTTTGGGGCTTGGGACCGGGTAAGGGTGCAGGCAATTGGGCGATCGCATGAGAACTTCAAGGCGGCGGATTGAGTGAAGGGGGGAGGGGCGGGGCATAAGGGAACAACTCTTCCCAACTAACCTTGACATGGCCTCATGGGTTTATCAGGGTATATAGGACAGAAAATTGATGTTTAATGTTTAAAGTGGTTATCAGGGATAGCTCTTCCTAATCAACTTGAGCATGATCTACTGTAGATGCGCTGGGTGGAGTTCTAGTAAACCCCTAACACCCTAAACCGCAAACCCCAAACCCCACCTGCACCCCCCGAGTATCCCTTAATAAGGGTCTAGGTGTACCTGAATGGTGGTATTTAGGGCACCTTCAAGGGTACATCCAGGGCCAGGCAAACCCCAAACCCTAAACCCTAAGCCCCAGACCCTGGACCCTAAACCCTAAACCCTAAACCCTAAACCCTAAACCCTAAACCGCTCGCGCCGGGGAACTGAAAACCAGGACCAGCAGAGCGTCGGGCGCCTCCGCGACCAGGGCATCCAGCACGCCTCCAGCGGAGCCCGACCCGCAAGGCCCGAAAGTCGTGGTTAGGGTTTAGGGTTTAGGGTTTACGCTTATTTAGGCTTTAGGCTTTAGGCTTTAGGCTTTAGGCTTTAGGCTTTAGGCTTTTGGCTTTGGGCTTTAGGCTTTAGGCTTTAGGCTTTGGGCTTTAGGCTTTAGGGTTTAGGGTTTAGGGTTTAGGGCTTAGGGTTTAGGGTTGAGGCTTTAGGGTTTAGGGTTTAGGGTTTAGGGCACAGGCTAAACGAAGGCCCCTGCCCCCTACTATTGACTCAGCTTGAAACAGCCCTGAACCCAAAGCCCCTCGACAATCCCGGCTCCTTCCTCTGAACCTGCAGCGCAAGCCCCTAAAATCAACAAAAAAGGTCGCTCCGCCTGAACCTCCAATCCCCCTAAACCTTCCCTAAACCCCTAGAAAGGCCCCAAGCAGAAATTATAGGGTTCTTCAAAAAAGGGGGTTCAAGGGGGGTATGTAACCTAAGGTTCCCCAATACTCCCCACTACTCCCTAAGGCTCCCTAGGCTTCCTTAAGGCTCCCTTGGTACCTACCCCCCATGAACCCCCCCCTCCCTAAACCCTAAACCCTAAACCCTAAACCCTAAACCCTAAACCCTAAACCCTAAACCCTAAACCCTAAACCCTCTTAAGAACCCTACAAATAAACCCTCCTTGAACCTCTGCTTCGAAAGGGTAACCTCGCCTTCCAAGACCAGGGCATCCACGTCTGCCGGCCTGACCGGTTCCAGTGGTCAGGGAATGGTTTGGGTTCTTCATCCTGTTTTGGGTTCTTCGGGTTTAAGGTTTAGGGTTTAGGGTTTAGGGTTTAGGGTTTAGGGTTTGGGTTGGGGGGTTCGGGGCTCAGTGCTTTGGAGGCCATTTTTTCCAAAAAAAAATTGGAGAGGAGGGACCCCTAGAAGGGATCCTTGGTCTTCTTCCCCTATGTAACCCCGATGAAAGCCTCACATGCATGTCGTCCCTGTATACCAACTACATTGCCCCTAAGGCCCCTTACAAGGGGCCCTCCTTTAGTCCTTGGAAGAACTTGAGCCCTCCTAAACCCTAAACCCTAAACCCTAAAACCTAAACCCTAAACCCTAAACCCGAAACCCTAAACCCCAAACCCTATTCATCCCCCCACTTTCGGCTCGCACCTCTGCCTGCCAGCGCTGGTGGCCGCGGCGAAGTAGCGCGCCACATTGGGAGCGTCCACCACGACTCGCGGCCGGGAGGGGTCCGCAGCCTGGGAGCAGCTCTCTAAATTAGGTTCAGGGTTTAGGGTTTAGGGTTTGGGGTTTCGGGTTTGGGGATTGGTTTAGGATTTAGGATTTAGGGTCAGGGTTTGGGGTTTGGGGTTGAGGGTTTGAAACAAAAGACCATTGAAACCCAACCCGAAACTCGCGTTTTGGGCGAGAAGCTGGCGCCGCGCCGAATGCGCCGGCCCAAGGGGGAGCTGCCAAAGCCCTGGCACTGTAGGGCTTGCAAGGGTTCAGGGTGTTATAGGGTTTGGGGTTTTAGGGCTGGGGTTGTTTAGGATTTGGGGGGGGGGGGGGGGCAGTCACTTCGTTCAATCCTGAACCCGAAACCTCAAAGCCTCCCAGCAGCTTCAACCCTAAACCCTAAACCCTAAACCCTACACCCCCAGTGGCAGGGAACCTGGGCTGCGACGGCAGCGCCCTGCGTGCATCAAAGAGCTTGGGCTTAGGGATTGTACTGTAGGGGCCTAAATATAACAAGAATGGGGTTGAGGGTTTAGGGTTTATGGTTTAGGGTTGGGCCTAAATAACTAGTTTGGGGCTTTTAGGGAGTGACTATAGCATACGTATAAAGGGACCGTAAGAGTATTGTTAATAATTATTCCGACCCCTACAGTAGGGCTTGGGGTTCAGGATTGGGCTGTTTTGCAAGGATGTCTAGGGTTAAGGGTTTATAGGATCTCATGGTTTACGGCGTGACTCTAAACCCTAAACCCTAAACCTGGCGTTCGCATACAATGCACTGCACGGGGCTTGGCCCGCCGGCGTACTGTTGCTGGCGAGAGGCTACAGTTCGGGGCTGAGGGTTTGGGTTTGGGGAACAGAAGAGTCTGAAACAACCCGGTCAGACCCTAAACCCCTAAACCCTGAACCCCAAACCCCGAAACCCCGAAACCCCTAAACCCCTAAACCCCTAAACCCCTAAACCCCTAAACCCCTAAACCCCTAAACCCCTAAACCCCTAAAGCCCTAAACCCCTAAACCCCTAAACCCTTAAACCCCTAAACCCCTAAACCCCTACCCTGAACCCTACTGTCTCTAAGACACGCCCCGGCCTCAAGCGATTCGCCTGGTCGCGGCCCACGTAGTGGATCACGATACGACCCAAGGGCGGGCCCTGCTGGAGGGTTCAAGGGTTTAGGGTTTAGGGTTTAATTAGGGTTTAGGGTTTCCCAGGTTTGAGGCAAAAGCCATTGGGATATCTGGGCCGAAGATCACAAACCCTAAGCCCTAAACTAGACGCAGGAGCAACCTAGGAATGAAAAAATGTGCACTTTCTTCGGTTTGAAGGGGGTTGTAAGGGAACCTAAAAAGGGGAGTGAGGGCCTACTCTGGGCCCCAGTGAATCATGCTTTCTGGCTTTCTGGCGGTGGGTGCCGACGACCGCCCTTCCCTGCCCCCCCCCCCCCGCCCCCGCTTTCACAGCAACAAGCGGAAGTCACTTCACCCCGAGCTAACCCTAAACCCTAAAACCTAAACCCTAAACCCTGAAAACCCTAAACCCTAAACCCTAAACACGGCATCCTCATGCGACTCTCGGCAACTCGGACACTTGCTCGCCCTTGGGATGTGCCCCCTTATACTAACTGTCCTTACTAGGGATTGTATAGTACCCCCCCTATTATAATCCCTACCAAGGACGGTCAGAACACAAGGGGAAACATCCCAAGCTCGCCCTCTAAACCCGAATCTAAACCGAATCTAAGGCCGGAATTGAATCAAGGTTCTTCGCTATAGAGGTTTGCTTCCATGACCGGCAGAATCAGGCCTGCTTCACCCGTTCACGCATCTTTCCTGGCTTGAGACTTTCGTGGAGTTGGACTTTAGGGTTTAGGGTTTAAGGTTTTTGGGGTTTAGGGTTTAGGGTTTAGGGTTTAGGGTTTAGGGTTTAGGGTTTAGGGTTTAGGGTGTAGGGTGTAGGGTTTAGGGTTTAGGACTTTTAACCCGAATTCATCCGCTATTTTTCTATGCAGCCCAGTATAGGAGTCGACAAGGATTCGACCGCCCTCCTCGCGCGAATGAGCTAAGAAACTTTCCTGTAACGGTCCCCGACCCCAGACACGATCCGATGTAGACATGTCATGGCTCTGGGGTACACATGTGGGTGTGGGTGCCCAAATGGTCTTGATCATATATGGACACCATCAACTTGTGCACAAAGCACGTTGTGATCTCCAGCTTTGACAAGTACGTGCAGTCTAATGCCCGCCTACACCATGAGTGGCAGTGCAGCAACGAGCTTAGAATGCAACGTTTACTTACGGGATCCAGCGTTTCGAACATCCTGCGCCCCAAAAAATGAAGACCGAAAATGGCCTCTGCTCGATCGGAAGAGCGAGGCTCAAATTTTGCATGACTACTGACAGCGACTCAAAATAAACCCTAAACCCTAAACCCTAAACCCTAAACCCTAAACCCTAAACCCTAAACCCTAAACCCTAAACCCTAAACCCTAAACCCTAAACTCAAAATCTGACCATGTCAAGACTTGCGGAGAAGTGCCACCAGCTAAGCATCGGACCCGTGAGGGGGGGTTCGTCTCTGCAACACCCTAAACCCTAAACCCTAAACCCTAAACCCTAAACCCTAAACAGTCAGGGACTCTTGAAAGCCAGCAACATCACACATGGCCTAAAATGTAGAGGCCCGAATGATTGAATAGGGCCAATCGGGGTTTTGGGGGGGTTACTATGGGTAAAATTACGAATTGGTGCCATAAGGGAACAGTATGTGCGTAATTCTTCCGACCCCGATGTGAAACACCCTTGAAGATGAAGGCCTGTTCCCTTAACACCACTCCCAGGCAGCTAAAGAAACCCTGAACCCTCAACCCTAAACCCTCAACCCTAGACCCTGAACCCTAGACCCTGAACCCTAGACCCTGAACCCTCGACCCTGAACCCTGAACCCTGAACCCTAAACCCCAACCCTAAACCCTAAAACCCTGAACCCTAAAACCCTAAACCCTAAACCCCTAAACCCTAAACCCGAAACCCTAAACCCTAATGAAGGCCTCTGGGACGCGGAACGCTGACACCCACACTGCTGCCGAGAAGCGGTCTCCGACCCACCGGTACCCGCTGCCCAAGCGCCGGGTGGAAGTCACGGGATCCTAAGCAGGGTTTAGGGTTTAGGGTTTAGGGTTTAGGGCTTAGAGTTTTAGGCTTTAGGCTTTAGGCTTTAGGCTTTAGGCTTTAGGCTTTAGGGTTTAGGGTTTAGGGTTTAGGGTTTAGGGCTTACTCGGAGCCTTTGCTTCCCTCTGAGAATATTCCTGAAGATGATCCTCCTAAACCCAACAAGGGAAATATGAAGTGTCTCAAGGGCCTACCAAGTTTGCAGTGTTTAGGCTTTATAGGGCTTAGGGTTGTAGGGTTTAGGGCTTGAAGGTTAGGATTTAGGGTTTCGGGTTTAGGGCTTCGGGTTTGAAGAGTTTAGGGTTTAGGGCTTCGGGTTTGAGGTGGTAGGGCTTCTGAGGGCATTCGGGTTGTAGGACGCTAGATGATTTAGCATGGGGCGCTCGAAGCCTGCAGGCTTCAGGGCTTTGGGGCTCCAGTAGGGCGTTTAGGCTTGTAGTGCTAAATAACCCCAAGCCCTAAACCCTAAACCCTGAACCCTAGACCCTAGACCCTAAACCCTAAACCCTGGCTTGTTGGGACAGCGGCTTGCTTGGAACGCGTGTGGGAGACGAGCAGCCGAGGCATAGTGCAGGTCACCAGGCCACAGCGTAAACTATGAGGGCGGCGGGGGGGGGGGGGTCCCAGAATTCGGGTTTAGGGTTTAGGGTTTAGGGTTTAGGGCCTAGGGTAAAACTATGAGGGGGGTGGAATGACAGGGTGCCTCTATTCTCCCAGAGCAAAGACCGGAAGGCTCGAAGCGCTACCTCCCTCGAGCCTCAAACCTTAAGCCGCCCCCTAAACCCTAAACCCTAGAGACCCTAGACCCTAAACCCTAAACCCCCTAAACGCCTTTTTTTTTGCGCTTTCTCAGCAGGAGCGCTGGATTCCCGACCGAACTTCTGGCACAGCTTTCAAAACCAATTGCCGGTGCACAATCATGATCGGTCCCTAAACTCGAAACCCTACACCCTACTATAGGGGCCTTAATGATTAGAATAGGGTTTTGGGGGGCTAATTGTCGTATAAGTATAAAGGAACCATAAGGAATACTGTTAGTAATTCTTCCAACCCCTGTATTAAACCCTAAACCCGTGTCTTTGCAGCAGCCTAGCAGAGACTGCAGTCCACGGATTTGCCGGTCCCATAGAGTAATCCATTGCCACAGTAGCCGGCAGCGGAGCAGCGGTATGTGCACACGCCGTTCACCAAGTCCTTCCCGTGAGGGTGAGTTTAGCGGGTTAGATCGGTACCCTAAACCCTAAACCCTAAACCCCTACACCCTAAGGACAAGTCCTGGCCGCCGTCGCTCTTACCACCCGCGTGACACCGTGTGCATCGCGCTGGACAGTTTGGGTTCGGTGTGCTCGGTGTATACGTCGCGACCAGCCCATCACAAGATCGGCAGTCGACGGAGTGCGGGGTCCCATAGAGTAGCCCATTGCCACAGTAGCCGAAGACGGAGCAGTAGTAGGTGCACATGCCGTTCACCAAGTCCTCTGCATGAGGGCGTTGTAGGGATGTATAGCCTTTCGGGTTCAGAACTTAAATATGCAGGTCCTTGGTGGCCCAGTAACCATATTCTGATAAGGGCACCCTTCTTTGGGTTTGCTACTTTGTAAGGGAAACCAAAAAAAAAAAGGCAAAGGGTACCACTGGGCTACCAAGAGCTTGAGAGATTTGGGCCAAGTCCTTTTAGTGTTTCGGGCGAAGACCCTAAACCCTAAACCCTAAACCCTAAACCCCAAACCCTAAACCCTAAACCCTAAACCCTAAACCCTAAACCCTAAACGCCAAGTCCTTGCCACCATCTTTCTTACCACCCGCGTGGCACCGTCCGCATTTCGTTGGGCAGCTTGCTGAGGACTTGCCGTCTGATGCCTGCACCTCATTTTTAGCCCTAAACCCCTTTAGGGTTTAGGGTTTAGGGTTTAGGGTTCAGGGTTTAGGGTTTAGGGTTTAGGGTTTGAGCCCTAAACCCCCAACCCCCAACGGGCCCCCAATCCCTAAGCCGTATAAACCCTATAAACCCAATAAATCCTAAACCCTCGCAGCTGTGTCCGAAAGGTGTCAGTTTGAGCACTTGCTATTGGTTTGCCCATTTTCTTTTCCTGTTTTTAGGTGGGGAGCTGATCAAAATAATGGTCCCTTTTGGGGTCTCTATTCTACTATACTCCTTCTAGTTTAGGGTAGCACAAAGGGCCCATAATTTGCTTAACCCCCCCAGTGTTGGTTACATTCACACCAGAGGACTTTTAGGAACCAGAGCACTAACCCACTGAACCCCTAAACCCCCCAAGCGCTCTCTTCCAGGTGGACTTTGGCATTCACACGCTGCGCCCCACCAAGAACCAAAACATGGCGCTGCGACGTTCGTGAACAAGAATGAGGCCCTCTATCTTGGGGTTTCGTCATTTCCAAGGGGAAACTTCAGCCCAAATTTTCTAGACGAAGCCCTAAAAACCAAAAACCCTTCCTCCCTACTACCGGGATCAAACCCTAAACCCTAAACCCTAAACCCTAAACCCTAAACCCTAAACCCTAAACCCTAAACCCTAAACCCTAAACCCTAAACCCTAAACCCTAAACCCTAAACCCTAAACTCAACCAACAACCCCCTGAAGCCCAGGGGCTGTGTGCTGCGCACCTTGGATCTGCAGGGCGTGCAAGGCGCAGTTGGAGGAGTCCTCACACTCGTCATCGTGCGGCAAGGCCATTTCTGGCAGCCTTGGGCGGTGTTCTGGGTTTAGGGATTACGGTTTAGGGTTTAGGGTTTTGACAAGGGTTTAGGGCTTAGGGCTTAAGGCTTAGGGTTTAGGGTTCCCTAAGCTGTATATTTCCTTACAGTGTGGTTTCGGGTTTGCGTCTTAGGGTTTGGGGGTCTACTGGTAGGGACGTGCATGACATCTCCCCAGGACTCCACCAAAGTATGTGTGTGTGTGTACCTTTCTGTCTATCTATCGTTCTTTCTTTCTTTCGTTCTTTCTTTCTATGCAGTCAGAGGTCGTCGCTGCCTAAGTACACACACATATACATATATGTATATAGATATACACATGTACACACACACACATACTCGTTCCACATTCCCGCAGAGTGCCCTCAACGCACCCGAGCCAAACGCCGCTGCACTTAACCCAAAACCACCCAAGCCCTAAAACCCTCACCTGAAACTAACTTGGGATGTTCCCCCTAACACTAACAGTCCTTCATGGGGATTATCGTACCCCCCATAAAAATCCTTAGTAAGGGGCTGTTAGTATAAGGGGGAACACCCCAACCCGAAACCCGAAATCCTAAACCCTAAACCCCGAAGCCGACCCACGGTCAAGAGCACTCACAGGCGTTTGGCCCTAAGGGTCCAGGTACCAGTATGGTACCAGTATGGGAAATGCTTGGGCCCCAAAGTGGCTACCTTACTGTTCCATCTTGGGCCTATGTACCATATGAAGTACGGCAGAGGGAACCTTATATACACTCACCAAAAACAGTGATATAAACCCTACTTCATATGGGTTCGTGGACCCTTTGGGCCTTGAAACCAGGGCTTTAACTTCCACAGCGGTGCCTCGACGCGAGATCTGGCTCTTCCGCTGCAGCGCGGAGTGCGCAGAAGGCTGCCCACACAATCATCGCAGCCATGGCACGACAGCAGTATGAAGCGACTGAATACTCTGGGTTCAGGGGGTTGCGAACACCGACCGACTGAAGCCGAAAAGTGACAGTGAGATGCAAACGATGCAGTGACCCTACACGAAGCCCAACAAAAACCCAAGCGATGGAGACATCTCAAGGGTTTAGGGCGTAGGGTTTAGGCGTAGCAGTCGACCCCCAGCACAGCCTTCTAAATCAAGCCCCAAGCCCAAGCCCAGTTATCGAACATAGTCATAAGGCTGATAACTCCAATTAGGGTCTCTTTTGGGGTATGTATAAGTCTACTTACTACCTACTTACTATCCACTTACTAACTCCCCAGACCCTCCAAGCACGGGTACCACAACGGCCGCAAAGAATCTCGACTCGGGAACACCCGAAGCGTGACTCTAGGCCCTCCCCCTGCCAACCCTACACCCCCAAACCCCAAACCCTGAACCCTAAACCCTAAAACCTAAACCCTAAACCCTAGCCCACAAAACCTCCTGGGCAAAGTCTGCGCTGCACCCCCCCCCCCTGCCCCCACCCCTTCTGGAGCTGCCAGGGTGCACCAGGCCTTGTGGCAATCGGCTCCTGCCCACTGCTTGGAGGTTGGTGGGGTTTAGGGTTTAGGGTTTAGGGTTTAGGGTTTAGGGTTTAGGGTTTAGGGTTTAGGGTTTAGGGTTTAGGGTTTAGGGTTTAGGGTTTAGGGTTTATATTCCAATCGTACTTACAAGCCCCCGAAGTCCTCCAAGTAGGTTGGGATTAGAAGTATGAACCTCCAAGTGGGGATCAACCAGGGGAGTCAAGCTTGGGCCACTAGTTCGGATGTACCCTAAGAGGTTCCTTGAATGTACTCCTAACATGATGCCTAAACCCTAAAACCTAAGGGTTACGTTTAGGGTTTAGGGTTTAGGGCTTAGGGTTTAGGGTTTAGGGATTTAGGGTTTAGGGTTCAGGGTTTGCCATCTCCTCGCCGCAGACGTAGTAGTTCTTCCGCTCGTGGCTTGCCAGGATTGGCCTCACAGAAGGCAACAAGCATGAGCTGCTAACCGGACCACGTAGTGCACGGGCCTTCTCCCCACAACGAACACAACAGAAGGACATTCAGGAAACCTCTTCGAAGAAAGAACGTTGCAGCAGCGATTCGACAGCACCATATTGAAGGAACACTACATCTAGCTGACATTTAAGACTAAGTCATACTGGTGAAGTACTACTATTTGCTTAGGAACCCCAAAAGAATAATCAAAACACAGCCCCTATATTGCCCTTAATAAGGAAGAATATTCCTATTTTTTAGGGGGTTCTTACGCAGTTAGTTGAGCCAGGATGGGCTAGTCTACCCTATAATCCCTGAAAAGCCCCTTTACAGGGTTCATTGTGGGGATTTTAAGGCCTGATAGACCATCCTGAGTAGCAAGTATAGGGAAGATCTTGAGGGCATCCCTTTGGGTCTGGGGGGCCCCTCGGAATCTTGGACAACAACCCCTGACTCCGGCAGCTCCAACTCCAAATTAGGGTTTAGGGTTGAGGGTTTAGGGTTTAGGATTTAGGGTGTGGGGTTTAGGTTTAGGGTTTAGGGGTCTTAGAGAAACCGGCATACCCAAAACAAAAAAACTTGACGAAGTTCACTTTGACCTGGCTGGTTCTTCGTAGGGAACGAGGGAGTGAGGTACCCGATATAATCCCTCAAAGGGGCCCTCATTCCCTCATTCCCTACGATGAACCAGGAGAAGGACCCCGTGAATGACACTCTATGCTTCCCAGGCGACGGGCACCCGCAAGGGTTTCAGGGATTTAGGGTTTAGGGTTTTATGTCGGAAACACCCAAAAGGGTACCCAAGTGCTTTCACATCCCCTGACAGCCGACAGCTGACCATCAGCCCTGCAGAATGTGGATTTAGGGTTTGGGGTTTGGGGTTGGCTTAGGGTTCTGAAGAAGCTCTAGCCTAGAAGCCTTAAGCCCCCAAACTCCTACAGCCTGTAAGAAAGCCCTAAACCCTACAAACTCTAAACCCCGAAAACCCATAAGGCCGAAACCCATGACGTCCGTGTTCGGTCCTTGGAGGTCTAAACCCTAAACCCGAAACCCTGAACCCTGAACCCTAAACCCTAAACCCCAAGCCCGAAGCCTCAGGACCGTGCCTCTGAGGCTCCTCCACGCGGCTGTGCACGCACCCTGCACGCGCTCCGCGCCAGGGGACGAGATCCTTGTGGTTGTAACGGTTTAGGGTTTAGGGTTTAGGGTTTAGAGTTTAGGGTTTAGGGTTTAGGGTTTAGGGTTTAGGGCTTAGGGCTTGATTTTGAGGAGGCGCGGGCCAGTGCAAGGTCGGGGTGCACCGCACAGCTTTGATAGCCCAAACCCTTGCGACCCAAAACTCTGTCACAGTCCCACCCTGCTGCCTTCTCAACTGCAAAGAGCTGCACCTCGACACCTCAGGACAGGCTTGCCGGAAAGTCTAAGGTTTTGGGTTTCGGGTTTGGGGTTTAGGGTTTGGGGTTTGGGGGGTGGGGGTTTAGGGTCTAGAGTTTGGGGCATTGCAAGGATCTTGCAAGCTTCTGTGGGTTCATGAATCCTCTATGCTATATATATATATATATATATGTATATACACCTCACTGCGGGAGGGTGCAGGGTGTAGGAACCGCAATGACAGAAACCCACTAGCGACAACTTCTAACACTGTAGAAGGGAGAACGCAACCGAAGACACAAATAGGTGCCTAAACCCTGAGCCCTAAGCTACCACGCGAGGCAAAAACGCGACCCTGTATCAAAGCTGTGGCCAATGGCGTCCCTCGTTGGGAAGTACTTTGAGGGTGTGGGTAAGGTGAGTGAGGGTTGAGGGTTGAGGGTGTAGGGGTCCAGGGTTCAGGGTTTGAGTCTTGGAGTTTAGGGTTTTCCCCCACCGGGCACACATCGCCACAGTGCAGGACACAGTTTTCAAGTGTCCAAGCCCGAGCCTCCACGAGACCTGAGTCTTGAATGTACCCAAAAGGCTGAGCCCACTCATGTGGGGACTCCTCTGAATTCTGGGCCCTTTTTGGCTACGGCACCCTGAAATATAAAGCCCCGTATCGTAAGAGGAACCCCCCACAAATTGGGACTAAACCCTAAACCCTAAACCCTAAACCCTAAACCCTAAACCCTAAACCCTAAACCCTAAACCCTAAACCCTAAACCCTAAACCCTAGACCGGTCAAGGCACACCGCATCGCGGTGGCCTCCACATCTTCCCGGCCCTCGGGGACAGTGAAGACGAAGGGCCTGTGGGTGGTACCTGTGGCTGAGGGTTGCTCCAAATCAGGGTCCGTTTTACTATACGGCATACTGAACCTGGAACCCTAGCAAAAATTACAAGTTTAGCTGCTTCTCAGGAATTAAAGTACCCAAAAAGTAAAAAAATGTTTCCAAGCATTCCTAAGTTTAGGGGGCTTCCTATCACATTCTATCATAAAGGGACCCCCTGGGAGCAGAGGTGACCTTTCCGATGCGTCTACACCGGTCCAGCCCTGACAGGTTACTAGGGTTTGCTTCCCTAAACCCTAAACCCTAAACCCTAAACCCTGTAGGTTTCAGGTTTCGGGTTTAGGGCTTCGGGCTTTGGGAGGGGGCTTTCGGCCGAACACAAGAAGCCCCTCAGCTTCATGTTTTGTTCTTTTTGTGGTGTCCTTCAAAAAAAGGGGTTTAGGGGTTTGGGCTTTAGGGTTTAGGGTTTAGGGCTTAGGGTTTAGGATTTAGGGTTTAAGGTTTAAACCAAGGGTGCTTCATAAATAAGAGATCGACGTACCTCATCAAGACATGGACGCTTCTTATCAAGCCCTGTCATTGTGCTGGGGTCTCAGACTGTGGGAGAGCCCTATAAACCTAAACCCCAAACCCTATACCCTTGAACCCCAAACACCAAACCCCGCCAAGATTTTGGAGAGCCCTATAAGCCTAAACCCCAAACATCCTAAACCCCAAACCCGAAACCCCAAAACCTAAACCCTAAACCTTAAACCCCTGAACCCCAAACCCCCAAACCCTAAACTCCAAGAAGTCGCCTAAATCCAACTCTAACCCAAGCCCGAAGAGCTCTGCTCCAGGTCGGTCCCGTGTTCCACCGGTCGCCTGGGGTTTAGGGTTTAGGGCTTAGGGTTTGGGGTTTAGGGTTTAAGGTTTGGGGTTTGGGGTTTAGGGTTTAAGGTTTGGGGCTTGGGGCTTGGGGATTAGGGGCATTTAGGAACATGAAGCGACCACTTCTCAGGAACTGGGAAAAAGCGGTTAAAAGGTTTAGGTGGGGAGGGGGGTGTTGGGGTGTCCCTAAGCCCTGTAAACGCTCAAGCCGGAGCCGGCCTAAACCCTAAAATAAAACCTAAACCCTAAACCCTCAACCCTAAACCCTAAACATTAAATTCTAAACCCTAAACCATAACCCTAAACCCTAAACAATAAACCCTAAACCCTAAACCCTAAACCCTAAACCCTAAACCCTAAACCCTAAACCCTAAAACCCTAAACCCTAAACCCTAAACCCTAAACCCTACCCCTCAACCCCAAAACCCTTGGGGTTGGCGTCTCAGTGGCAGCGCCCGCTCCGTTTCAAAGCCGCAGAAGCTGCGACTTTTCCTCAGCTCAGCTCTTCTCCAATCTTTATGGTTGACAGGGTTTAGGGTTTCGGGTTTAGGGTTTAGGGCTACAGCTGAGCTGAGGGTTTAGGGCTTAGGGCTATCTTCACGTGTTTGAGCTACGCTGAGGGCTTCAGTCCCTAAACATCGAACACAGGACAGCTTAAGTACCCCCAAGTAGAATCCCTTTTCAGGACTGTTATGGTAATATAAGGGGAACGTCCCAAAGCTATACTTAGACATACCCCCCCCCCCCCATATACTCGATTATAACTACAAGGGAGAATTCGATATTGGGGGGTAGGGGAGGGTTAATATTCGTGGGAGGGGATTATACTGCCAAGCAATGCATATATACCCCGTATGCACCCTATACAATTCAGGGCCCATCCACCAAAAATTTTTGAAGGGAGGTATAAACCCTAACAAAGGACAGCTTAAGAACCTTTAGGGACACTTAGGGAGCCTTAGGGACCAGTGGGGAGTATATGAAGGGACCCTATAATATACATCAGAACCCTCTAAAGGAGGTTGGGGACCAGATTAAGGGCCCTTGAACTACCCTTTGAACAAAGGACAGCTTAAGAAACCCTAAAAACCTAAACCCTAAACCCTTAACCCTAAACCCTAAACCCTAAGAGGAAAGCCTAGGAAACAGAACTCATACTTCCAAAAAAAAAGAGAGATGCCTAGCTTCCCCTTCCAGACTGGCAGGAAGCTCTCGCTTCGACATAGAACCTGGGCTGGTTCTTCGTAGGGAAATGAGGGAGGGACTGAGGGCCCTTCATATATACATATATATATATATATAAACATATATATATATATATACATATATATATATACACATATATATAGAGAGAGAGAGAGAATGAGGGCCCTTCATATATATATATATATATATCCTATACCCTAAACCCTAAACCCTAAACCCATAAGGGGTTCTGTAGGGCCCTCATGCCCTCATTCCCAACTAAGAACCAGGGGGTGGGTCGAAGAAAGAGCCGGCTTCAACAAGTGGGCAGTGCTTTCCTGTCGTGGGTTCCCTTAAACCCTTAAACCCTTAAACCCTTAAACCCTTAAACCCTTAAACCCTTAAACCCTTAAACCCTTAAACCCTAAACCCTAAGCCCTAAACCCTAAACCCTAAACCCTAGAAACCCCTACATATGAAGGCGCATGCCTACAAAAAAAAAACGAACGCTGCCAACAAACAAAAGGAGACTTGTCGGAAACTCCCGAAGCCTGGGCTCCAAAGCCGCCGAAACCCTCAACCCTCTGTAGGGTTTAGGGTTTAGGGTCTAGAGTTTAGGGTTTAGGGTTTAGGGTTTAGGGTCTAGAGTTTAGGGTTTAGGGTTTAGGGTTTAGGGTTTAGGGTTTAGGGTTTAGGGTTTTGGGTTTTGGGTTTTGTGTTATTCGCACAATGAAGTTTTGAGGGTTTAGGGTTATTGGTGTAGCAATTTAGGGTTGAGAGGTCTAGGCCGTAGGGCTATCCATTCCCTGACACCCTGAACCCTCAAACCTGAAACCCTGAACCTCAGGGGCTGAATACCCTAGTCCAAAAACAAGTTAACCTTTTATATAATAGAGCAGGGTTCTATCTGAAGAAGGTTAAAGGGTACTCACCCAGTCCCAAACTTTATTTGGAGGCCTGAAACTGCTTCGGACATGACCTCCGAACCCCATTGGGGGGGAGGGGAGGGGGGGGGGGATTGAAGGAGGGGGGGGGGGGGAAGGAGGGAAGTCGCTTCCAAAAAAGGCGATTTGGCGATTTGATCCTCGCTAAGGAAATTTAAGGGGGGAACCGGGGAGGGGGGTGGGGGAAACGATAAACCCAACCCCCTAAGCCCCGTAGTATGGGGGCGGAACATTTACTAACTGTATTCCCTTACGGCCCCCTTGTACTAGAATAAGCCCCCCAAAACCCTATTCTAATTCTTAAGGCCCCTAAACCCTAAACCCTAAACCCTAAACCCTAAACCCTAAACCCTAAACCCTAAACCCTAAACCCTAAACCCTAAACCCTAAACCCTAAACCCTAAACCCAAATTATTCTAGGCCCCTATCGTAAGCTCCTCCAGGCCGCGCGGTGCCCCTCCACGCAGGCAGTCGCCAGACAGTCGATCTCGGAGCTCCGCACCTGACCCGAAAAACCTAAGGTTTAGGGTTTAGGGTTTAGGGTTTAGGGTTTAGGGTTTAGGGTTTAGGGTTTAGGGTTTAGGGTTTAGGGTTTAGGGTTTAGGGTTTAGGGTTTAGGGTTTAGGATTAGGGTTTAGGGTTTAGGGTTCAGGGTTCAGGGTTCAGGGTTCAGGGTTTAGGGTTTAGGGTTTAGGGTTTAGGGTGGCTTTGGGATGTTCCTAAAAGCCCAAAAAAGCCCCAAAACCCAAAAGCACCCGAAAACCCCGTGCCCCTAAAGCCTAAAACGCTAGATTCCTATGACCCAAGAAACCCTAACACCCTATAACCCTAAAACCTTAAACCCTAAAACCCTATGACCCAAAAAACCCTAAAACCTCCCAAAAAAGAAACCCAAAACCCTAAACATAAACCCTAAACCCGAAACCCTTGAACCCCAAAGCCCTGGCAGAGCTTGGGTCTTAGTCCTGTGCACTTCTCTAGCAATCCACGACCCTGCCCTGTAAGGTTCTGCACCCTAATCCTAAACCCTAAACCCTAAACCCTAAACTCTAAACCCTAAACCCTAAACCCGAAACCCCAAATCCTAAACCCTAAACCCTATAAACCCTAAACCCTCAACCCTAAACCCTTCTCCAAACCACACTCCGCCTGCGGGACGGAAGCCGACAACCACAACTACATGAGCACGTGCAACCAACAGACCTTCAGGCTAGCCCTAAACCCTAAACGTCCGAAACACCCCAAACACCCTTGAAAAACCCTGTAAAACCCTATAACTGTAAGCCCTGAGCCTTTTACTCTCAAGCTTCGCGATGGAAAAGCATTCTGAAACCCCAAACCCCAAACCCCAAACCGCCAAACCGCTAAACCGCTAAACCCGTAAACCCTAAACCCCAAACCCTGGACCTGGACCCTAAACCCCAAACCCTAAACTCCATCCATGCCCACCAAGCCCTCAAACCGGGAACCCTGAAGCCCCTTTATCCTTTCAAAGGCTGTTTAGGAGTTTCAGGGCTTCGGGTTTAGGGTTCGGAGTTACGGCTTTGGGTTCAGGGTTCAGGGAGAGTTTAGGGTTCAGGGTTATAGGTTTTTCCGTTTAGGGTTTAGGGGTTAATCAACGCTGAACCCCGAACCACGCCTGGATGGTGTATTCCCGATCAGGGGAAGCAATGACGTACGTTCGGTTCTCCCCGCTGGTGTCGCGGTGCTTTGGGAGGGGCACGCCCTCCACCAGCAAGTCCACCTTCAATAACTGCTCTTTGCATAATAACCCAAAACACAAAAAACATCCCCGTATTGCCCTTTATGAGGAAGAATACTTATGTTTTGGGGGGTTTTCTTGAGCAATTAGTAGGTAAGGCTCCTTCCACAATCTAGGGATTGGACCTTGGACTCGTAAGGTTGTACCCTTGGGTTTTGGGGACCCGTTTTAATTTTCCCCAGGGAATATATAAGGGCCCTATTCGGAGTACTTTAAGGGGAACCTTTAGGGGTACAACCTTAAGGGTACAACCTTAGGGGTACCAGTCTGAATCCCTTGATATAAGGCTCACCCTGAACAGCAGTTGCATTTGGCATCCAGAATGGCCTCACATGTAGCTGGCGTCACATAGGTCGCTCTGGATCGGGCAAGATGCTTCAAGGTTCATAAGTACATCTTAAGCTCCGGCTAGGTCATAAGAAGCCTGAACCCTAAACCTTCCAACCTAGACCCTAAACCCTGCGCACTTGCAACACTACTTTTCAAGTAGCCGATGCCCAGACCCCCGGGAAGATCCAAAAAGCAGAACCCCCAAATAGTACCCTATACTACCATTGGGCCAATCTTACGAACCCCTAACGGGATCTAATTACTTTTTTGATCCTCTCAGCATTCTGGGTAAAGCCCAAAACCCTAAACCCTAAACCCTAAACCCTAACCCCAAAAAAAAAACGCCGAGAGCTCGGAAGCTGCCTCGACGCCGCGCGGCGCGTCGGTCATGGTTGAGCTCTTCGGGTCAACTCAAGAGCGACTTCCGCATTTTAATATTCAATGTTCTATGTGCTTTTAATTATTGTTGTTTTTTTTTTTGTTGGGGGGGGGGGTTGGTTATGGGTTTGGGGTTTAGGCTTCAAGCTTTGGGGTCAGGCTTGGGGGGTTTGGGTGTTTCAAGGTGGAATAGGGTTGCGAATATGGGATGCTACGCTCAGTTGTTCATAACGAATGCAGTTTTACAAGAACGAATATCAGACGTGGGCATCTGGATTTATAGGGCTAGGCTTGACAAAAGGCTTGACATGCACAAATATGCACCCTACCAGCCGTTTTGGCTGCTACGACGGCGGCACGCGCGCTATCAAAAGCTTGAGCCAGTCGAGAAGGAGTGGTGCTCCCTACGGGGTACTTGGCGAGTGCAGGAAAGGGGTCTTAGGGTTTTGTGTAATCCCTTTCTGGTTCGGCAGTCGGCCCCTCTTGAATCTCTTCGAATTGGGGGGCCCCCCGAATACTACGGGGGTGGGGGCGGGGGGCATTTAACATTGGGGGGAATAGATGATGGATTGCGCCCCAAAAGACCTGCAGCAAACTGCTTACATAAAAATTTGAAAACTGTGGGGTCTTTACTTAGGGCCAATCGGTTTAGGTCTCATAGTTGCTGGGGATGCGGATGAGAGTGGTATGCGCATGGTCCGTAAATGCCTCAAAGAACCCAACATCTCCCTGTTTTTTGTGAGCTCTGAGTACCCAAAAAGCCCCTACAAAAAAAATACATTCTGGGGAAGGGGGGGGCTCTTACAAGGTAAAGGCTTGACTCAGGCGAGGTTGCAGATGCAGCCAAAGGCCGCCCCCCCGCGTGGCGCTGCGGAGGGCTAGGAAGGCGCCCGCCAGAGCGGAGCAAACCTCGGCGCGCCGGCGCGCACGCGCGGGTGCGCGAGGTGTTTCCCGGGCCACACGCCAAAGCCAGAACCCCCGAATTTCGGATTCCCAGAAACCCTTTCAAGCCTATATAAATAATGTCATTCCCACACACGCGCGGAGACCACACGCGACTTGAAGATTGCAGAATTCCGGGAAGCTCATGCGAGTACATCCACGGCTACTTCTGAGGGAAGAACAAAAGTGCACGAGACGCGAGGGCAAATTGCAAACCGAAAGAAGAGACCCGGGCGAGAAGAGATGCCCAGGCTCTGCGTCCAAAGGCAGAAGACACAGCAGAAGTTGCGGACATCCGATAGTGTTCAGCCGCAATCGCCCATAACCTAAACCCTAACCCTATACTAAGGGGACCATGTAACTTCCCTTAGAGCCAGGGACAGTAGACATGCCTAGATGCGTATCTGTGACACATCAGGGCTCTAGAATCCTGGGGACTCCTACACCCTGATCCCAGGGTTTAGGGTTTAGGCTTTAGGGTCTAAGGTCTAGGGGCTGGAGTACCCCAATTATATCTGCACTTATAAGCCCCCCCGAAGTCCTGGAAGTAGGTTATAAGTAGATTTACAGCTGAGGTTATCTGTACCCATGAACCTCTAATTTAAGAACTGTGAGTATAAGGGGGAACATCCCATCCTTAGCCCTGTAAATGCTTAAAACAAAAGCGGTCGCCGGCCTGCCCGAATATGTGTTGGGAGCGTTTTGGCGCAACTTTTGGCCTACCCAATGCATGAAACCCTTATTTTTACTTGGCGGGGGGGGGGGGGGGGGTGGGACCGAGTCACTGGGGTTTAGGGTTTAGGGAGCTTAGGGAGCTCAGGGAGCTCAGGGAGCTCAGGGAGCTCAGGGAGCTTAGGGAGCTTAGGGAGCTTAGGGAGCTTAGGGAGCTTAGGGAGCTTAGGGAGCTTAGGGAGCTTAGGGAGCTTAGGGAGCTTAGGGAGCTTAGGGAGCTTAGGAGCTTAGGGAGCTTAGGGCGGGGGGATTGGGGGGGGGGGGGGGGGGGGGATTCTGACATGGCCAAGTAGCGCCAAATCACCGAAAACCCCCCAAGCCTTGGCCACTCAAAGTCCTCAGAAGCCTTATGATCGAAGCCCCTCAACTCAAAACCCCCTGCAAGGGTTTAGGGTTTAGGGTTTAGGGTTTAAGGTTTAGGTTCTAGGGTTTAAGTTCTACGGGGTTTAGGGTCTATAGGGTACAGGGTTTAGGGCTTGAAACTGCGGGCTTCGCGGCAGACAGCGTCAGCACTATGGCAACCCCAGCCAGCCAATCTCCTGCAATCTCCGGTTTCGACCTCCGTGCTGGCGTTCTAAGAGCCCCAAACCCTGCAGTTTAGAAGACCTTCTAAGGGTTTGAAACACCACCCCTGAAGGTAGTAGGCCATTACCAGGTCAAGGGTTTAGGGGTTTTGGAATGTACTAGGGCTAAGCTTTCAACCCCAAACCCACCCCTTCGGTTCAAAAAGAAAGACTGTGTGGCACGCACGGTCTTTCACAGAGAGACACTGAACCTCAATCCTGTACACACGAGCTCGGTTACTGTACCAACTGCCGTAGAATATGGGGACTTCAAGACTAAGCTGAAATACGTTCGCCCACTTCGCCCACTTAAAAAGGGCCTGGAACGCTCTTGGTGGAGAGTCTTGCGCCACGAAGACACCCTGTCGCTATCTCAACCCCCCCCCCACCCCAGGCTGAAGGATGTCAGGTTTGCCAGAAAAAGAAAAGGTCCAAAGGGTGCTTCCCAAGCGCAAGCAAAAGCCGTAAACCCTAAACCCTAAAGTGTGCATTTTAAGGGAGCTCCAGGTAAAAGTCGATTTTAGGGCTTGAGGCTCAAAGTTTCGAAGGGCTCAAGGTTTAGGCACTCAACCCCTCAACCACAACCCTGAACCCTAAACCCTAAGTCACATTGATCAGTTCTCATAGTTCTACCGGGGTGCCAATCACTGCCGGTGGCCGGATCCACATGACAGGTGGATGCCATAGACAGAGCCAACTGCACAAGGGCGATCCTTGCTTGGGTTTAGGGTTTAGGGTTTAGGCTTTAGGGTTTGGGGTTTAGGGTTTACCGTCACAAGGGGCCTTGAAGCCTCGTCCCCCAGAGGCGGTCCAAGATTTTGGGGTTAAGGGTTTATGGTCGAGGGCCTACTTGAAGCTTTTATGGGTCACCGTATCACTGATAGTAGGGCTGTAAGCAGTACGATAGGCTGTATTACAGCCTCTGTTAAGACGCTGATGACCCCATTTAGAACTACTCCTTGAACCTTCAAGCAGTCCTTACAGGGGCACGTCCAGTTCTAAGCGGACACAAGGCCCTACGTTGTTCCGGGTGCCCCAACGGGACTCCATATACAAAGGAACCCATGTGTATGAAGTCCACCTTATGACTTCCTTAAGCTCTCAGCTCTATGATTTCGCTTCTTGTGGCTTGCAGTGGATCGTTCCGCTCGTTGTCTTCTTGTGTTTTAAAGGGGTTGGCTGGGCCCAACTATTGCGACTACAGGATGTCTATGACACATCATGCAGACAGCCCATACAAGAGCTCAGGCAGTGATCTTTTGGGTTCCTTATACCAGGATGGCCCTTACAGCCCCCTCAAAACTATTCCTGGAAAATGATCCTCTTAAACCCAAGAAGGGGAAATATGGAATAATCCCCAAACCCTACCTGGTATAGAACGAGATCCTTAGCTCCGGAGGACTACAGCTCGAAGGGCTGCTGCCTGGGGGCCACTGCACCAGCAGAAGCTGCCGATTTAGCAGCACCCGGAACCTTCTCATGGGGGGTTTCAGGTCCGAGCCCCCTACCTTAGGGTTTAGGGTTTAGGGTTTAGGGTTTAGGGTTTAGGGTCTAGGGTTTAGGGTTTAGGGTTTAGGGTTTAGGGTTTAGGGTTTAGGGTTTAGGGTTTAGGGTTTAGGATCTAAGCCCTCAACCCAGAACCCTGAACCCCAGAACCCTGAACCCCGACCCCCAAACCCTGAACCCTAACGGTACAGGGCTTAAGCGTTGAGGGCGCCAAGGCTTAACGACGTAAACATCAGCATGCAGGGGTGTGGACCTTTGAGGGAAAACCTGGGTCCCCCAGTTGAGGGTTTAGGGTTTAGGGTTTAGGGTTTAGGGTTTAGGGTTTAGGGTTTAGGGTTTAGGGCCCATTACCTGCCCAATTACCTGTTGATTTGTTTAGGGAGAAGTTGGGCCCTAAGCACCAAACCATAAACCCCACACCCAGACCTAAACCCTAGACCCTACGGGTGGGTGGAGGGGAGAGGAGGGAGGGAGGAAGCTACCCTAAGCCGATCTACAAGTAAACTCCAGAAAGTTGGAACATCAACATCCTAATGCTCTTAAGGTCAAAGATAGGGAAACCCGGTACGAATCACCCTAAACCCATGTTCCAACTTTCTGGAGTTTACTGTAAACTCTAAACCCTAAACCTAAAAGGACCCTAATCTAACTTAGAGAGCTACTCATATGACATGTCCGGTTCATGCCTTGGTGAAGGGAGAGCAAGCGGGTTCTACCACTTTGTCTGTGGCCAAGATTAAGCGCACATGAACGGTTTAGGGTTTAGGGCTTGGGATTAGGGTTTAGGGTTTAGGGTTTAGGGTTTAGGGGGTAGTTACCCTTCTGCTGGTAGTATTGGCAGCTTAGCTGCTGCGCTTCGCTCGGCGGGAAGGCAGCGAATCCGAATAGAGAAGTGAAAAAAAAACTGCATGTGACGTGTGCTGCTAGTGCGAGTACCAGGTCAACGTCGCACATTCGCGGTGCAGGAGCGCCCAAGCGCAATGTAAATCTCACCACTAGTGCGATGGAGAAGCAGGATGCCAGTGACCTCAGTGAAACAAGCCAGGGGGCCGAGGGAGGCTTTAGGGTTCAGGGTGCAGAGCTTCGGCTTACGTGTTGGATAAACGCCCATGGCGATGGCTCGCCACCTGACATGACCCTCCACGCTTATTACCGGAGTTGGGGTTGAAGGGTCTAGGGCTTGTATGTATGCAGGGCTAGGAGAGGATGATGAGTTACGAGGTTCAGGGTACATACACGGGTTGAGGTTTAGGCTCAGGGCCGCAAGTT